AGCACCTTTTGAGGTCGTGGGCCCTCCTGCAGCTCCTGGGCTTAAACCTACATGAGGCACCCCACTTGCATTGTCCTTCATTAAACGCCATACAGAACCCTTTCTTTTGACTGTCCAACAAAGAGAAGGTTGATCCCTCGCCGACCCCACCCTGAAAGGGCGCAGCTGTCTGAGCCACCATCAGTTTCATCGATAGGGGTAGGTCCATCTGGTCCTACCGCATCCCGGGATTAGCCGACAACCTTTGGCGGAACTGCTCGTCATACTTCCACCATGCTAAACCCCCATAAGTATGATAAGCCTCCCAGAACACATCCAAATAGAAGAAAAACTGAGAACACCGCTCGGGCAATTTTTCCCCAAAAACACTAGCCAAAATGCAGAATTCCCTAAAGAATTTCCTCCTCCTCTTTCTTGGCATTCTTATTATCTTCCTCCTTCAGATCAAGATATTCATGCAAAGGAAGGAACGAGAAGATCTCAAGGAATTTGCCCCGCCAAATCTTTTCTTTCACTTCTGATTTTAGATGACAACCCAAAGGCCCAGCGAATGACGTGTACATTCTGCCTGGCTACCTCAGGGATCTCACCTGTCAACTCTGCATGCTCGCTGACCACCACCAACGTCCCCAACCCGAGGGAAGTCACCGTAGTCCCACCCTGAACACCGCCGGCCGTAGCCACCTGAACTGTCATAGTCACCCCACTCCCTCCTGAGGACGGGCTCCTCCTCCTCTGTGCCGGCATCGAACCAGGGCACAAACATTGGGGAGGCGTTGTCCTCCCTGCAGGCCGTCGATCTGGAACCACCGCCGGAGAAGATCCAAGGCATGCCATTAGCTCCTGCAGCCAAACAATGCTGTACTCACTCACTGCCACACGAACACCTGCAAGGAATTCTTCGACAGGATGCATCTGAAAAAGAAAGACGAAACCTACACAAACTTGAGACACAACTAACTGGTAAGTTTAGGTTTAGTTAAGATGACCAATTCACAAAATGGCTGGTATAAATACTCCCATCGTAGCTCCGCCCCCCCACTCCCCAGCTTGCTAGCTGTCACTCAACTTGCTTTGGCTGTTATGCCTACTTCCTGGCTCTGTCAAGGTCCACTCCCCTAACTGCGCTGATCCATGGGCTACATGACCTGTTTATTCAATAACGGCACTTTGTATTTATGCAACATATACCCTTTGTTAGCCTGATATGTAAGCATTCCTAAAATATACTGAAATAAAACAAATATTGCTAGATTTATTTATGCTATGCTGGTTTTTGTTTTTTTTGTCATTGAGTTAACGTTTTGGTCACCTAATTTGCATAAATTTGCATATCTAGTGTAATCAAGGCTTTTATTCAACATGTCTTTTTCACCCCCAATTTTCATTTCCCAGGGATTATTCACTGACAGGCGCGCATACCGAAGATGCTTAAATAACAACATTCTTCTTTTCAGCTTTCTCTCTCAATTGCTTCCTGACACTTTTATTTGTCGAAATGTTGCATATTTTGAGAGAGACATACAAAGAAATCTATATGGAGAGAAACAAGCCTAACTGCTCAAAGCTTATTAATTTCACCTTGTGTTGTTTTTTTTTTATAAATTCTTGAGAACTATTTTCCGAGAGATTTAATGGGATTCTATCCCTTAAATCACATTCTGAATAACCGTTGGCCAACTTGATACATTATTGTCATCTTCGCCCGCATACTTCAACTGAATGGAAATTGTTTTATAAATGCAAATCTTTTCTTATGTATCCTGGCTTCGAGTATATTTTTTGTCTTTATACTCACTGTTGGGGTCATGGAGTCATTTTCACTTTCTCCGCAGAACCTTTTATGGCGCTGTCAATCAAGCTTTCTTTTTCCAAAATACTTATTACAAATTTGCAGTATTGTCTAGCTCTGGGTCCGTAGGCTTTCACACTATCCCAGTAAATGTGCTTATTGTTACTAAATTTTATTTAATAAACTGTATTTGTTACTTTCTGTTACACATTTACACATATCCAGGAATGCTGATTCTTTCAAATTAACTATAATAAATTAGAATCTACTGCCACCAGCAAGGGGTTAGGTATGTACAGATTAAGAAAAGCAAAGACTTTTCTTAACTTTGCTCATAAAGCAATTTAGCAGATAAATTCCTAATTTGGTATCCTTACATGGGATTGCCATAATTAAGGATAACAAATTAGGGACTTGTTAAGCAGATAGCTCCTATATTTGGTCACCTGTATCCTTATGGCAATCCCACATAAGTATAAGGAGTTATCTACTAAACAGCTGAACGATCAAAATTAGGGAGCTATCTACTAAACAGCTGAAAGATCAAAAATAAGAAAACAAAAAAGGGATTTTCTTGAATTTGATAGTTCAGCAGTTTAGCCCCCACAAAGACTTTTCCACCACATCCAGGTGAGAAAGCCTATACAGCGAAACGCGTCCTGAAGACACTGTGAGACTTTGGATTACTGGATTTTTATACCAATATAGTGTTGTTTTATATATATATATATACTTTTACTGATAATGATACAATAAAGTTGATACATTTTTATACTAACTACTGGCATTTTCCTGCTATTTTGAAAGAAGGAGTGTGGTCCTTAGCCACATATTCTGTTGGATCAGAGACGATTTGGATGGCTCTGGGTTTGTAAGTACTCAATTTTTACCTTACTTATTATAAGACACAAGACCTACGTTATTGCACCATATGTACTCTTTCCTTGTTATAGGAGACAAGAGAGAGAAGAGTTCCTATTAAAGAAGGGAGAGGGTCGCCTCTACGGACCCTAAGAGTGTGGCAATTGAGCTATAACCTTTTAGCTCTATAAATTGTGAGTGAGGAATTTTTATTCTCCTTTCCATTTACTTTTGGTTACAGTCCACACTATGTTTTGGTTTTTGTGTTTATGTTTTATAGGAATTAAATACTAACCATTGTGATCTGATTTAAAAGAGTACCTAAGGTATATGCACCTGAATTCCTGTTCTCCATTACACTGAATTGTTTTTACCCTTTTATAATTTTTTTTATTTAGAGCTTCACCTGCACACTAGTTTCTTTTCTACGCTACAAGATAAGACTAAGGTGATATAACAGCTGACTATACACTGGGTTATTATATTGACAAAAGTGTCACTTCAAACTATTCTAATAACAGCTGACTATACACTGGGTTACTATATTGACAAAATTGTCACTTCAAACTATTCTAATGTTAGCGCTGGTACTATCCTTTTTTCAAAATTAGGGAGCTATCTACTAAACAGCTGAAAGGTCAAAATTAAGAAAACAAAAAAGGGATTTTCCTGAATTTGATATTTCAGCAGTTTAGCAGATAAACTTTCCTTAGTAACTTTGTGACTGCCACCTTTATTTATCGCCCATAAGGAATAATGGGATTAACAAGATTCTCATTTTGTTTTTACATATTCTTAATTTTAAAAAGAAAATCTATTTCCTTTCAAAACTCGATTAAAGGATTGTTATATTAAAAAATAGTTTTAAGAGACACAAATTTTATCTGGCTGTTTAGTACCCAGAGAGGGGTGACAGAGGGAGGACACACGATTGACACATTTGCCTACAATTATGCCGAGAGCTTGTGAAGTGTGAGCAAGGCAACTATTTATTGAGATCATTTTATCAACATACAGTGTAAATGCTTGCAAGCCTTGGTATTATATTTATAAACTTGGCATTATGAATGGTAATCTGAAATATATATTTGCCTATTTCTTTTCTGGTGAGGAGGATTGCAAGACAAGGGATACGGTATAATCTTATACAGTATAATGAAAAATAATAAAAAATTATTATTATTATTATTATTATTATTTTATTATTTATATAGCGCCAACAAATTCCGTAGCGCTGTACAATGGGTGGACTAACAAACACATAATTGAGATCAGACCACTGACGTACAGGAACAGAGGGGGTTGAGGGCCCTGCTCGATGAGCTTACATGCTAGAGGGAGTGGGGTATAGTGACACAAAGGGTTAAAGTAGGGGAATTAAATAGTTTGTTACAGAAGGGTTTATTGAGTGCTTGGTAGGTCATTTTTGACAGGTGAAGGAACGGAGTCATGGGGTGGGGGATGAGAAACCTGCTGACAGTTTAATTGATACGCTTTAATAAAGAAGTGAGTTTTCAAAGATTTTTTGAAGGAATGGAGGCTGGGTGAAAGTCTGATTGAGGAGGGAAGGGAGTTCCACAGAATAGGTGCAGCCCTGGAGAAGTCTTGAAGGCGAGCATCAGAGGTGGGGATCCGGGCAGAGGATAGGAGTAGGTCTTGGGCTGAGCGCAGGGGTCTCGTCGGGACATACTTGTGTATGAGGGAAGATAGGTATGTTGGAGCAGCATTATGTAGGGATTTGTAAGCAAGCGCCAGAATTTTGAATTGGGCCCTATATCTAACTGGAAGCCAATGCAGGCACTGACAGAGCGTGGAGGCGTGGGAGGTGCGACCGGACAGGAAAATAAGCCTCGCAGCCGTATTCATTATAGATTGCAGCGGTGCAAGCTGGGAACATGTAAGACCGGTGAGAAGGGTGAGTCAAGACCGGTGAGTCAAGGCGAGAGAGAACAACAGCATGAACCAGTACCTTAGCCGCGTCCGGCGTTAGATATGGGCGGATGCGCGCTATGTTCTTGAGTTGGAAGCGACAGGATTTGGCTATCGATTGAACATGGGGAGTAAAAGAGAGATCAGAATCAAAAAGAACTCCTAGGCAGCGAGCCTGGGAGGTAGAGGTGATAGTAGCGCCGTTGACTTGGATGGCGACAGACACAGGAGTAGCAGCACTTGAGGGAGGAAAAACTAGAAGTTCTGTTTTGGACAGGTTGAGTTTAAGGAAGTGAGCAGCCATCCAGTTGGAAATAGCAGAGAGGCAGTCAGAAACACGAGTCAAGGTGGGCGGAGAGAGATCAGGGGAGGACAGGTAGATTTGCGTGTCATCTGCATATAAATGGTATTGGACGCCAAAAGAGCTGATGAGTTTACCAAGGGAGGCAGTATAGATAGAGAACAGTAGGGGGCCGAGGACAGAACCTTGGGGGACGCCGACAGGGAGGGGTTGGGGAGAAGAGGCAGAGCCAGAGAAAGAAACACTGAAGGAGCGCTGGGAGAGGTAGGAGGAGCACCAGGAGAGAGCAGAATCCCGTAGACCAAAGTTACGGAGAATGTGAAGAAGCTGTTGATGATCAACAGTGTCAAAGGCGGCAGAGAGATCAAGGAGGATTAGGATAGAGTATTGGCCGCGAGATTTAGCAGCAATTAAATCGTTGGATACTTTGGTCACAGCAGTTTCGACAGAGTGACCAGCGCGGAATCCAGACTGAAGGGGGTCAAGCAGAGAGTTGGATTCAAGAAAGTCTGTCAATCTGGCGTAGACAACTCTCTCGAGGATCTTGGAGGCAAATGGCAGTAGTGAGATAGGGCGGTAGTTGGATGGGGAGTTGGGATCGAGGTTGGGCTTTTTCAGAATTGGGGTTATGGTTGCATGTTTGAAGGCAGAGGGAAATGTGCCAGAGGAAAGGGAGAGATTGAAAATGTTAGCGAGAGGAAGAGCAAGAGAGGGAGACAAAGTGCGGATGAGATGCGAGGGAATAGGATCGAGGGAGCAGGTGGTGGGGCGGGAGGACAGGAGCAGAGCAGAAACCTCTTGTGCTGTAGCAGGTGCAAATGAGCTTAGGATGACAGGGGGAGTGGGGTTGGGTGATGTATTGATACTGGTCGGAGAAAGATTAGAGATCTCTTTCCTGATTGTAGAGATCTTCTCAGTGAAATGAGATGCAAAGTTTGTGGCGGACAAGGTGGTGGAAGGAGGGGGAGTCACAGGGCGAAGAAGTGCATCAAAAGTGTGAAACAGGTGTTTGGGTTGGTGGGACAGTGTGCTTATGAGGGTGTTGAAGTAGCTTACTTTTGCAGAGGAAAGAGCCATGCTGTAGGAGCGCAGCATAAATTTATAGTGGACAAAGTCAGATGCAAAGTGAGACTTTCTCCAGCAGCGTTCAGCAGTTCTGGAACATTTTTGGAGGTAACGGGTCAGCTTGGTGTGCCAGGGTTGTAGTTGGGGGCGCTTGCTGCGTTTAACTGTAGGAGGTGCCATGATGTCAAGTTGAGAGGAGAGAGTGGAGTTGTAGAGTGAAGTTGCAGAGTTAGGGCAGTTGTGATTTGAGATGGGTAAAAGGAGTGTTTGGAGTTTATTGGAGAAGTGCTGGAGATCGAGAGAGTTGAGGTTTCTGCGAGATTGGAGAGTGGACGGTGGTGAGATTTTGGTATGGGGAATGCAGATGTTAAATGTTAGCAGATGGTGGTCAGACAAAGGAAATGGAGCAGTGGCGAGATCAGAGGTAGTACAGAGATTGGTGAAGATGAGGTCAAGAGTGTTTACTGCAGTGTGAGTTGCTGAGGAAGAAATCTGTGTGAGTCCAAAGGAGGAGGTTACAGAGAGCAGACGAGAGGCATCAGGGCAATTGAGCTTGTTGATAGGGACATTGAAGTCCCCAAGTATGAGAGAGGGAGTGCTAGAGGAAAGAAAGTGGGGTAACCAGGAGGAAAAGTGTTCAATGAATAGTTTAGGGTGACCGGGGGGGCGATAGATGATGGCAATTCTTAAAGGAGTGGGCTTAAAAAGGCGTACAGTGTGAACTTCAAAGGAAGTAAAGGATAGGGCAGGGGCAGGGAGGATAGGTTGAAAGGTACATTGAGGGGAGAGAAGGATGCCGACACCACCTCCTTTACAGTCAAGTCTAGGAGTATGGGAGAACTGTAGACCACCGAAACATAAAGAAGCAGGAGTAGCGGTATCGGATGGAGATAGCCAGGTCTCAGTGAGTGCCAGTATTGTGAGAGAGTTAGAGATGAGGAGGTCATGTATTGCTGTAGATTTGATATTACTACAAATGGAGCGAGCATTCCAGAGTGCACACTGAATTTTGGTAGAGGAGGATAGACTGCAGGGTATTTGGAGGAGGTTTGCATGGTTTCTGGTTATTTTAGTGTGAGCAGATGAGGTGAGGAGCCCTGGGTTGGGAGAGACGTCACCAGCTGCCAGAAGTAGGAGGAGAGATAGAGACAGGAGGTGTGAGTGGGTTTTATATGGGCGGCGACTAGGGTGAGATTGGGTTAGAGCAGGAGAGAGAGAATAGAGAAATGAGTGCAGGGCTTGAGATGAGAGAAGGGGGAAGTGTAGCAGAGAGGGATTAATGTAAATGTTAGTGTTTTGTTGAGGGAAGTGGGTGGAAGGGGATATTTTGATCCTTAGGGAGATGAGAGAGAAGGAGAGGAGGAGAATATAGAGCATTGCTCTGATAGGTAGGTAATTAGAGGGAAGGAGAATGAGCATAAGGGAGGAGAGGGAGTGAGTGTTAGGGGTTAAGAAGGTGGATTGTGCTCATTATGGGTAGTGTTTGCAGCTGCTATTTGGAATTAACTAAAGTTGTGTGTGGGATTCTATCTATAAATGTAGTAAGGAACTTGGGGTGGTGAGGGGAGGGGTGGGCGGGAATCTGAGCACTGTTCAGGTTTGCTAGAAGTGGTGTTTTAAAACTCAGACTGTGGAAGACAGAGATGATAGGGTCAAAACAGGACTGCAATAAAAGCTATGGAATGGAGATGCACAGAGGAGGTGAGGATTGGTCAAGCAAGACATTCGGGTGGGTATCAATAAAATAAGGGGGGGGGGGGAGAGAAGAAATAACAGAGAAAATCTTTAGAGATAAGCAGGATGTTGAATAACATTTAAGTTAACAAAACCAATGTTGAGAAGGGCAGGGAGCAACTAGCTTTAGCATGCAGGACAAGACAAACTGCAGAATATATGTGTGTATGAGAAAACACACACACACACATATACACATATAAATATATTTTATATATATATATATATTTGTGAACGGTGATTAATCTAAGAAATTAAAGTTTTACTTTTATTTTATATGCTAGCTTCTTTCCATGTTTCAAATTCCAAACACACTTTTTTGTTCCTCTCAAAAGAACTTGGTAATGAAGAAGTTAATGGTTTGTCATGTACTGAAGACGACTCACATCTTCCTTTTAACAAAATGTAACAGTATTGGATGGCTGTTTTGCTAATCTGACAAAACTCAGCTGTGGTAGCTTGCGTGATATCTCAATTTGCGAAATTAATCTTTAAATACCTTTTGTGATGTTATTGCTCGTAAAGTGTTACATAAACAGAGAATTTAAGTGTTATCGGAAAAATCTATGTTTATATAACACGTTCCAAATAGTGCTTTCTTCTAAATTTAAATTAAATATGTTAAAATAGAAGGGGGAAATATGCATTACAACGATACTTATTCTAATTTGAGGACATGGTGTCAGAGAGTAACTTATTTAGAGTGTGCTTACTTTAAGATGTATAGATTGAGGCAAAAGCAAACTCCGTGAAGGGTTAAAATGTTAATGAACAATTTTCATTTTTCTGTATGGAGTACACACTCCCGCCATTTATGCAGGGTTCGAATTGTAAATGCCACTCTACAACATGATTTGTAGGATCATATCTACACAAAGTAATAGCAAAACTTAAAGGAACACTCCAAGCACCATAACCACTTTAGGTTGGCTTAATAGAGCATCTATCTAATGCAGTGGGTAACTCGGGACATGAATAGCTGCTCTCTGTGACTGCTCTCAATATCGTGGCTTTCATTATCAATTTAGCGTAGCTCTTTATTACACCTCCTGAATGTTACCTTTTAGAGGATTATATGAGACAATGGGGTGCAAGACTAGTTTTTGGTACAAATAAATATAATGTATCATTATATGTTTTTATGTGTCTTGAGATTGAAATATATATCCAAAATTACCAACTCAAATCAGCCAAGACGATTTAGCCTTTATTCAGTATTGTACATGCTAACTCAGGTTAACTTCAATTTCACAATTACCATTCTACTTTTTATTTTGATAGATTTGACCCAAACTGACATGACTGAATAACATTTCATATAAAAGATAAGGAAAGACAAAGAGGGATTGTCCGAAAATCATCATTTCTGCCTGGAGATAACGTTGTTTAGATTTTTAGACTGAAGAAAAAATGGATTGTTTATAGATATTTGATGAAGTTTTATTTAAAGATAATAGTTACAATTTCCAGATAATCATATTTCAAAATAAAATACACAAATTTTACAGCGCCGAGGAATTAATTGGCGCTTTATAGATAATAAGATTAATAATAAAAAAGTTTAGCAAAGCTACAACTAGTTTGCTCTACTAAGGTAAAATACAAAGCTTATTAAAGCTAAAGGACCACTATAGTGACCCAGACGACTTCAGCTCAATGAAGTGGTCTGGGTGCCAGGTCTCTCAGTTTTTAACCCTTCACATGTAAACATAGCAGTTTCAGAGTGGCTTCCTGACAGCCGCTAGAGGCGCTTCTGCGACACTGAATGCGAAAATTGTATTCAGCGTGCAGAACGTCCATAGGAAAGCTGACGTCGGAGCTGACGTCGGATTGGGAGGAGAGGTCACCAGCGCAGAGGGAGCCCAGTGCCTGATTAAAGTAAGTAGCTAAAGGGGTTTTAACCCCTTCAGCCCAGCGGGAGGGGGGCCCTGAGGGTGGGGGGGACCTAAGGGTTATATAGTGTCAGGAAAACGAGTTTGTTTTCCTGACACTATAGTGATCCTTTAAAGCTTATTAAAGCTAAAACTTTGGCGCTAAAGGGGTTAAAACCCATTCAGCTACTTACTTTAATTCAGCGCCAGGCTCCCTCGGCGCTGGTGACCTCTCATCCCACTCTGACATCGGCTCCCGAGTGGAGCGGAATGCGCATTCAAACATTTCTCAATGCTTTTCTATGGATGTTCTGCACGCTGAAAGTGATTTTCGCATCTAGCATCGCAGAAGCGCCTCTAGCGGCTATCAGGAAGACAGCCACTAGAGGCTGGATTAACCCTGCAATGTAAACATCCGAAGGGTGTGTTAATATCTAAAGGGTTAAAACCTGGCACCCAGACCACTTCATTGAGCTGAAGTGGTCTGGGTGAATATAGTGTCCCTTTAATTGTAGTCACAGAATCCAAAACCGCTACACGAAAGTATATATTTATAGAAAATAAATCCCTCAGGCTATGTAACTAAGAGCATTTTGATACATTTCATATAACCAATTTATCACAAACCTATGTTAAATTAGTTAATATTTTGTGGGGTTTTTGAACACATTGTTTGGGGGAAATTCACAGACCACATGTTTCCCATTGCTGTAAACACCCCTTAGTTGTATTCTGCTACTGTCCACGTGTACAGTGATACCCAGTGATACCCTACATGTATACCTTTTACCCTAATCCTACCCCTAATATTATCTCTTATCCAACCCTTAATCAAACCCCTAATCCAACCCTTACTCCCACCGTAGTTTGTTAACATGCTCAGTGTGAAAATCTTCCCAAACACTTTATCTTAACTCCTTAAGGAGCAATTACAATTGAGGTCTTGTTTACACATTCAAAGTTTGGGATTACCACTCATTTCAAAATGTATTATTGTTAGAGCAATACATACCTGTCTCTCATTTATAATAGCCCCTTTCTATTTATATTTTCATATTGAAATGTCTCAAAGTAACTGCTGCTATAAATTGCAACAACTCAATATGGACGATTATGTGACGAGAGCAACCTCGCCACATTGCATTGGAGAAGCCTGGTTGCTCGCCTGCTGCCTTTGGATTATGGCCCCATGTTAAAAGACTTTGTTTCCCCTGCAGAAAATACTTATTCGTGCTTTTGTGCCCGGTGTTCGGTAGATTCAATCTACCGAACAACCGCACGAATGACTAGACCATCCGGGAG